TTTAGACCTAAATCTGTTCCGCTTCGAGAGGTCGCCCTACAATCACCGGTGAACAGCGTGAATATTTTCCTCGGGGTTGAAATCAGAGATGAATCGCTGCCTTGGTAACAGCTTTCAGGGCAGCAAAAAACTTTCCTGTGTGTGTGTGAAAAGAAATTACATTTGAATATATTTAAAAAAGGTTAGCAGAAAACGAAAACTAGAGATTGGGGGAAGGGGATACGTGGAATTATCAACACAAATCTCAACATTCCAGCACCAAGTTGCCGCCAATTTTTAACAACAGTCTGATCAATGTCTACAAACTGTAAAACTACCTAATGCGTTGTTGTTGTTTTTTCCCGAAACAAATACCAATCAGCTACCGAATTCAACACCCAGGAGGCTTCCTGCATCAAATATATTTGACGTTGTACGAGAGAACCGATTTTTAAACTTTGTATTCTCGACTCTATTCTTTGCCTACTTGTTGTACCACCCATTCAAGACACAGGTTCCAAATGTTTGCAGTCGTACGGCGTATGCCGGGGTGAGGGCCGTGATCACAACGTCTATTGACACAATTGCGCAAATAGTCGCATACATACATTATACTGTCATATAATCAATGCCAGACAAATAACTCTAAAATATCCTCACCAATCTGATATCGAAGTTCAAACGAGGGTCGCGTTTATCGTCAAAAACGCACGGTTAATCTAAATAGTCGCAACGCATTCATCAAGCATTATGGTAAATTTGCCTCGGTTGAACACCGATGTCTTGTCAAAATGAAATACCCATACTTGAAATTATATACCGACCGTAGCGGTGTCTACTAGTCTCGAGTGTCTCCCTACACGGCGTCGGTTGTCGTTGGCTCCGTGCTGCACAACAGCCACAGTTTGCGTGCATGCGTTGATTGTCATCTAATAACAAGATTACCGGGCGCATTAAATTCAGTAATTGATCCGGTCAACGGGAGCTCAGGACCGGTTAAGGACAAGTCGAAGTCTTCAGCTCCGAGAGGCATCCACTCTATGTTTCAATCGTACCGGCTGGACCAATAACAACATTAACGTCCCTTGTTACACAAATCATTCACCACAGTCAATAACGCCCTGACGTTTGACATGACACATACTGACAGATTTGGTACCCGATACAAGCTTACCCCGGCTTCAATAAGCCCCTGCCCATACCTCATATAACGCAACAATATGTGTTATTTATGCGCAGTCACACGCCTTTGACACCGCGCCGTAAAGCTAGCAATGCCGACAATCAAGCTCACTCGGGGAACTCGACATGGACACTTAAGGCTACTAGTACAACAAAGTAGGACCAACCATCGCGGGAAGAAAGGTCGCTTTGAATGGTGCCTATTGTGACTGGTGTTTTGAATTGAATGTGAAACGTACCTTTTAAACCGAGAAGCGAGCAGTGACAATTATATCGATCCGGTCTCGTCCTTTTTCTCTCTGTACTCACTGTGACAGCGAGGGATCAGCGGTCACCGAGTGGTACACAGACTCCTCAGCACGTCACAGGCCAATGTTTTTTCCGTTCCATTTGGCACTACAAAAATATAAATGACCGCACATATCACAGACAACCACACGTGCAAATCAATACAATAATAACTATATGTTGTGTACATGTCAATTTCGTCTGAGTTTGCATTTCTCTATTTTATTTGAATTACTCAAATAAATTATGCGTTCTAGAGGGCGCTTTCAGTGGCTAAATGCAACTATTCAGTTATACTGGTTTTTCAATCAGGGACGAGACATTTTTAAATGACGGGCTGTCTGTTTTGCAGATGTATACAATCTTTTCTTATCCGGGAAGATGCTAGCTATTATTTTCGATTTTTGCGCATGTTTCTCATTTTTGGTAGATTTCAGGTTCACGATCAAACTGTGTTTTAGACTGTTACTTACAGCGGTCTGACGGTGGCAGGGCAGTGGAGGTAATTCAGTTTTTGTTGATGCACCAATGGGTTGACGCACATGTTTTTGTTTAAAATGCGTTTATTTTCAATTTTCGATCATTCAAACGTCATATATTAAAAGTTACGAGTCCCATAATCAATGACGTGACCAATTAACACGTGAGATGAGCAAACGAGGGTAACTAGGGACACCTAAACGTGGTCTACTAGTCGCCACGTCAGAAAAGAAATGAACTAACTAGAATGTTTTTGAATTCATAATTGGCAAAAACCAGAGCTAAAAATCAATATTTTCTGGTCAGCATATGTTAAAATGTGTTTGTTTTTGTATAATGCGCATCAGTGAGTTGTACGGACAGTTACATCACCTCTACGCATGGAAGCACCTCGCGAATAATTTGTTTGTTCGTTATATCACAGTCCCTCAACTCTGTGTTGAGGGACTGTGGTTATTTATAGATCCACCTATGTGACTGTAGGAATGAGATGCGCTTCATCATGACCGCAGTTATATTAACATACACCTGGCGAGAACATTTCCGCTTCCCCGCCGTTTTAAATACATTTTCACTCTGACAGAGCTTGTTATTTCATTTTCTTGCACCAAATAAGAAATACTGTAACCATGTAATGAACAATGGTCATTCATAACGCTACCGTCCCCGCAATACTCAACCCAATGCAAGGCTACATATTACACTGGCGAATACCTTTCCGCCGCAACGGACCAGTTAGTTTCTTCTCATCTGTGTCGTCAGTCGTCATAGACGTCCACCGCTGCGTTACTACGCTCCCGACTGCCTCTAATTCATTTCAATGCTTTCAAGAATCTCTGGTATTTGCTCTGTTTTTGATATTGTAAAATATATAGCTTTAATATACTGTATACAAAGTGGTCGTTTGGCCCCAAAAGTATCACTCAAGAACACAAGCAAGCATTCCGACTCTCCGTTCGGCCCATTAGTTTCACCTGCTAGTAGCATGTATACGACAGCCGAGGATACCGGTGTTTGATAGTCTTTTCTGTCAACAACCTTCGTCGTTCGCACCGTGTACCCCCTACTTAGTTTCAATCAACAGTAACTTGAGTACCAACTTCAAGCTGGGCTTCTCTACTGTGACCAGACTGTGCGTCATTCGCTAAGTCCGGACAGTTTCCTTTAATTCGGATTGTCGTGCCGGGACGGTTCACAACCCTCCGTGTCCGATATCATTCCACTACTAAGTACAACCTGACTGAACACTTTATTCTAACGTGTACATTTCTTCACGTAATTTCCGAAGAATTAGTGTACATGTCAAATGTAACGTTTTTATTAGCGAAGAATGGAGATTAATACGTATTAGCCATGTCACACACTGAACCAAAGTCGACAGATGAAATGGTATCTCCAGTAAGAGGTCAAAGGTGACCAGGCACGCAATGAATCAGGGGCATTTTTTTATTTATATATATTCATGGTTTAGTTATGAACAATTTACATATGGGTAATATCGTTCTAAATTGCGGGGTGTGATAAGGTAACGCACAAGTTGCGCATGTCGAACGAGAACAAAAACTGTACACGACGAATTATGTTAATGAAATCTCCCAATCGCTACCTGTATTGGTTTGTTCCTGACTTCAATGCAGCGATGTCGTAATGTCACGAGATAAATTCTGAAATAAACACGATCGTCACTGACCTTAGCCCATGAGGTCATTTTTGTGTGTAGACATATCAATTGATTAATGATGTATTTCAGTGACAGACAATGTAGTTATTTAGGAAAATTTGTCTAGACTAGAATTAGAAAGAAAAAAAGGAATCAGAGAAACATGCTCTGTATGAAGGAAAATGTTTTTTAAACCCACCCGTGTTATCTTGCCAACTAATTTAAACAAATGGCAGTTACTACACGAATGCTAAGTTATATTTATCCCATGTATCAATTGTCTCATCTTTAATACTTAACTTCGTGGAGAAGCGCGTGGCTTCTTTTTACTTGCATGCAGGATCAACCGTACATTCTCTAAAACAATTAGTGCGTACCAGTAATTCAGTGCGCATTTATACTGATAGTAACATGTTTCATCATACGCATGCGTTGTTATTGTATATCATTATTATGTATTGCCACTTTGGACTTATCATTTTGGCGAATAACATTTTGTAGACACTCGTATCAGTGGATGAATTCGTGATAACACATCTGTTTCGTACCACGAAATCATGAGCTACACACATTTCAATTTTAATTTGCATACGAAATCGCTTCGCATTCTAGGTACTAGTATTTACATCCCACGCGGTGCACAAGGTTTGGGTTATCTACAAGTAGTTTATCACAATTCAGACTTGTGAACTTCTCGAAACTATCTACCCACGTTTTTACTTTCATGCATGTTATTTTAGCTGAATAAAGACACATGTCGTCTCAAGCAGTCGTTGCTACTAAATCAACCATTGCGCTCTGCATGCTTGCAGATCAGACTAATGTGGTAGTCTTAGCTTGCAGCGACAGCATTTCACCGAAGAATGCGCCGCCTGGGGATGCGGAGAAACTCCATAAAAAAAAAACAAATTTGACAATAGACGTATAATAAGTAATAACGTGCTGCCTCGGAGACTAGTGGATTGAATCATTGAAGTATCTGTTCCTGTGCAAGGGTCAGAGTGTCTATGATTTAGAGCTGATTCTTGTCACAATATTAGAACTAACTTAGATACCCGTATGTATGAGATGAATTGGAACAAGGGCATATGGGAGTACGTGTTGGGTTTGACTGCCAACTATTTGTGGGGTTGTCCGAGTATGTCACCAATTTGATTTTTTTTTATCCTCGTTCTTTGATAATTCAATATTTTTGTTCAAAAGTAAAACACAATCATGAACAATGTAATCAGTATAGTCGTAAATGTGGACGAGTTGTTGACCGTGTGCATCATTGATTATGACTGTGAACGAGCCTATACGGCAACAACATCGAAAAATAGCTATAGAAAATTTTTATTGAATTTGGCCATGATAGACCTAAGAGGTATATAAATTGACTCAAGCCATGATTCAGTAGAATCTTAATTTAGATATAATGCAAGTAATATCATTGTGTGAATATAGTTTCTGTTGAATTTATAATAACTATAGTTCTTTTTAGCTCCATAGGCCTTAAACAAATATGGTCGTCAAGGTCTCGATCAGAACGAGAGATCCACGAGACTTGTTTTTGCATCTCAAGTCGTGTTCTATTGGGAGCTAGTGAGACACGTGACTTGTTGTTGTCTCAATACAGTGTTTTATTCTCTCTCGTGTCATGTGTATCAGTATGCCCACCCTTGGTTTCTGGAATTACGCCGATTAGTTGGGGGTTATTATTGTCAATGAGAATTCATTATATTCTGATATTATTTGAGAAGGAGCAATTGAGTAGGACCACAGTAGAGGGGACCATAGTGTAACTTGTCGTTTAACCCCAACACTGTAATATCGTTATTTGCTAATAAATTCTTTCATACACACAGCACGCAAAATTCGTTGTATCGACAGACATTGCGCCACGTGACAAAATAAATCGCGCGTGACTGTCGGGGTCGCCGCTCTACTCAATAATACCCGTCCAGGCTGCAGGGGGTGTCAATCGCTTACATTGTAAGCGTTTGTTTTCGGTGCTTCTTTGGGGTTCAATGACCTGTGCATGACTGTTCAAAAGGTGTCTTTACGACCACACGTATAGACAGCATTTATTAAACGACCTTGTGTCACAATCTGTCATTTGCGTTAGAGGAATCCTCCACTTTTACAAAAAGTCAACTAGAATCATGTCATTAGATGGTTGTAGTATGTCTGTGTCGGTTATCAAGCAGTTCAGGGTTGCAGTTGTTTTCTTGAAACTTAGAATGTAGATTGCCATCTATAAGGAAGAATTACGACATCCGGACAACTATTTGACGTCACGCAACTTCAACGATGATTCTAATTTATTTAACTTCTACATTTGAAGATCATTTGAGGACATAAACATTATAACTTTCGGAGGGGTGACATGTGCGGGCGTAGCGTGAATGTGCGGTAAGGACACACCACACATCAAAGAAAGCAAATAACGTCGAATAAACGGCAAGGTAAATACTACGTCAACTTAGTGAACAAGTACTGCGTGCGTGACTCGGAGCGGCGCATGCGCACGGCACCTAATCTTCTAGCTTCACGTCTCTATACGTCTTCCCCTCGGAGTTTACTTATCAAAAGGAACGACTCCATTCTACTGATGAACCTCAAGGCGCAAATTTCATCAGACCATAAATCCATATTTAGTTACCTAACATTTGACATCAAATTATTTTATTGAAGACGACACAGAACATAAAGTTACATACTAGCTATAGTTCTTTATATAGCTCTGTTCTTTCCTTTATATTTGCGAATTATATAGGGGGTCATTTTACAGATTTGGTGTCCCCAAGCGATGGTCGTATTCGTATGGAGGTAAACTTGGCCGACCTTCACACGACACATGTTTCACATACTCAGTATATGAAAGGCTTCACTAGTTGTAGTTATTCTACCCCGAAGGTGTAACATTCAAGTTGAAAGACATGCTCAAATTAGCGTTGACCTCTATGAAATGATGCCGGTAATCACACTGACCAACTGGACGCCTTGTATCATTTTACCATAGACATTGTGTTTATGTATCCTGTTTTCTAGGTTGTTCCCTTGAAAATTGGCTGCATTAAAAAAAAACACGCACACGAATAACCGATTGCCAATTTAAAACACATGGAATGTATGTATACTGTAGATGTCACCGCTACTTGTACAGAGGCTTCTGGTACGTCTCTTTGAATCCAGTGTTTACACCCTTGTGTGTTTAACAGACAACCCTTCAATTTTAAATATGAGACTGTGGATATTTCTTTCCCCTCCTGTTTACAGGAAACGCAAGTTCTTCGTTCACATAAGCACAACAGTTAATTGTAACGTTAAAGCGTTGTTGTACGGTGAACTTCCACAAGACTCATTTTGTGTGTGAATCACATGGTAAAATAATCAAAGCGGTTATTTAATTACGAGTGAAT